CTCTCTCTCTCTCACTAGCATGCCTTACCGCTGCACACACTACCCACTGGCTAACAGACTGCCATAACCCTCTGCTCGCCCCTCCCTTTGTTCCCCTTGACCATGTCACAAAAACATATCTGAATAAAATAAAACCCCAGACGGATTCATGTTTTCCATTTACTTTCCAGCACTGAATGCAAGTCTGTCAGCATGAAACCAAGCGAACTATCTGACTGTTAAGTCAACTGATTGACACTATCTCATGACATTAACAGTTGACAGATGGTCTGATTATAATGAATAGTTCTACTTATAAAGCGAGTGATAAAGTATGATGAAGGTACTAAAACTGCAGAAAAAGCACTGTCACATTTCTGAAGCGGCCATTTTGCAGCCATGTTGACTGCTGATTGTGAACAATCTTACAGCATCTCTGAGGATACTCAAACTATTTTTGCATAACCCAGTTAAAGACCCATTTCCTAAAGCAATTCTGGCTGGGAGTCTAAACACCAACAAAGCTAGTTCAATACAAAACAGATCTCATTTAAAATATGAATAGTAAGGGATCTGGAGCTTGATGAAAAAGGTTTACTGGGTTTGTATTGTGTTGCTGTAGTTTAACTGAATAGCTCCGTTGTCTGGTGATTACTCAGTCCAGAGAGGCAGACAGTGAGGTAATCACACTCTCATATTCTAAATTCAACCTGAGTGTCACGCCTTTCTGTCAGAATTGCACTTTGATGCTCTTGCTTCCAGCAAATCAATTCCGTCTTGTTACGGGAAGTCCGAGACCCCTCGACTCCGACTCAACGAAGGGTGACATCACTGCAGACCCATGATGTCAGAATATAGTAAAGATGTCCAGCATCGGCATAACTTTGAGCTGAACATTGGAGGGTGTTGGGGGGTTAAGGTCTCCACAGGGGCATGCCCCCCCCCCCCCGCAGATTTTTTTCATGCAAAAAGGCTGTTAAATGACTTTCACACTAAATTTAAAGGGAGGCGATTAACCCAAACTCTATCTATATATATATATATATATATAAAATTTTATTTCATTCTTTTTTTTCCATCCCAACTAAGGGGTGTATTGACTGGTTTTGATTATTGGGAGGGGGTACAATCCCCCCCACCCCCCATAATTTACACACATGACGTCCTTGGTTTAAGTGACCCATAAGAATGACATGACATCTCAGCAAATGAGCAGATGACTGACACAAATCCAACACAACACATCAGCTCGTGCTCAAAGACGATTTGAAGCATTCACTTCCGGTTATTTTATGTAATAACACAGGTTAAGGGAACACAATTCGTTCATCATGAAAAACTGTACACAAAAGAACTCGTTGTCCTAATGTCTGGCACACCACACCTTTAAAGAAAAAGGATGAAGCCACATTCACTTTAGAGAGTTGTGTCAAAAACAAAGTATCAAAAATGAAATAAAAATAGATGTTTCTTTGTGATGCAGATGAAGGACATGGGTGTCACTTTCAACATGTGACCTCAGCGGTTTGCACACGAGCCTGCAGTGAGAACGTTACGCCCTCCTGTGGTAGCATTGTCGCCTGGTGCAGGAGTTTCCAGTCTTCTACGACATTATATCCACCCAGGCGAGATGAGCAACAAAGCAGAAACAACACACTAATGAAGACAGAACCAGTCATACACAGAACAGCAAGGAGAAAAGCTGGATTTAATATCAGGACAACAAAACAAGAGGATCAAGATGCAGCAAACAGTATTAATCAGGGAGACTTTAAGCAGATTATTAGATTGTAGATGTGGGCGATTACAGATTGAGGCTATTTCCCCAGGTTGTTGATCACACCCTCACCAGGTGAAGTGTGGGGTTCAGTTGGGAAAATATCAGGGTAATATGAGTTATGTTCATCAGAGTCTTGTGGCAGCTTCTCTTTTGCCTTGCAATTTCAATATTTTATATTTAACTTATCAGGAATCTACCCAACAAACCCACTCTATTCTAAGTCATTCCAAGTACAGTTGGTGATATGTTGCAGTATTCCACCTTATCACATCCAGCAAGATTGCTTTTCATTGGGACATACTGATTTGAATAATGAAAAATCACGACGGTCCTTTTGTTTAGCAACGGAGATCATGTGACCAAGAAAACCAGCTGACGATGGTTAAAGTCGTTGTCAGGGCGGTATCTCTTCAAAGACTTAATAACCAAATTTCTTCCGTCTTTCTATGCGAGCTCTTGAGAAAATAGTACCTGAAGCCTTTGTCCAATGTAGTATCCTAACATCACCATCAGCCAAATTTTATGCTGTTCCAACGGGGCTAAAAATAATTACGTGGAATCACACTTCAGCTAGTCTATTGAAGAACATCAGCTACACCATCTTACAAAAGGATCGTCAACCTGGCCATACATGGACAAAAAAATCTTTTAATTGAGAATAAAAAATTATATATGCTACGTTTTTAAATACCATGTCCGTGGTAAAAACTATATTTTGAGCAAAATCTAAATCAGAATTCTTCATGGTGTTGACCCCTGTTTTGAAGTACAGTGTGCTAAGGAATGGATTTGAGGGACAAAGAAACAGCAACACAAATAATGCAAATGCAAGATATTTATTAGAGACATCCGTGTGTCAATGCGTTAAAAATGGAGCATGTCGTTCATTTGCAGCAGGTCGCGTCGCACGTGCTTCCCTTGCACACGCAGCCAGAGGCGCATTTGACGCATCCGGGGGGGCAGCAATGGCAGCAGCCTGCGGAGAGAAGGAGCCCCTTTAGCTGCCGGCTAGAGGCGCGCAATGACGACGATGGACAAACCATGTCGTAACTTTCATTTTTAACATCCTCCGATATAAATCAAGACAGCCGTATATGTAACGTTCGTTTCATAAATCGCTGGAAGGAAAAAAAAATCACTCACTTTTTTTGCATGACTTGCAGTTGCACGTCGTGCAGTCGCAGTTTCCACCGCAGGTGCAAGATCCATCTAAAATACAAACGGATCCAGGTTAAGTCTTGGCATAAACCTAAATGATAAAGTCAACTGTGAAAACTTTTGCTTAGTTCAGACCTCAAATGCAGTATTCTGGATAACAAAGACAAAAAAGGTTCTTACTTTTGGAGCAGGCACAGGAGCAGGCACTGGGGTCCATTGGATGTGGCTTAATTTTCTTTCTTCTTTCTGAAAATTATGAATATGCGTCTTCTCTGCGTAGAGTTGGTGCCTGCACGATTGATCGTTGGGTTTATATAGTTTTCAGCTCCTTCGTACCGAGTGAAAAGCCATGATTGCAGACTACTTTGCACACGAAAACATGTTGCACACGAAATCCATTGCCAATGTATTGCACAACAAAAAGGTTTTGTTAGAATTGTGGACAAACATTACTGGAAGCCAGGGGCGTCACTAGGAATTTGTGAAGTTACTAAGCCGCTACTAGGGGGGGTAATTTTAATTAAACGAATGGGAACTAAAGTGTACATTCGTTTAATTAAATTTAATTTTTTTTTTGTGGGGGGGGTTAAAGCTACCCTAAAACAGCCCTAGCGACGCCCCTGCAGTTAAAGAACAATACGGCAAACAAGTGCAAATTGTGGTGGTGAGAAAAGGTGGTGACACAGTATTGTGAACGGTTCATTCAGTAAAGATGATTCATCGTGGGTTGTTTGGAAATCGATGACAAAGGCAATGCACGCGGCCCGCTGTGACTGTGCACTCAGTCTGAGATGTGACACCATTATATCGCCTCGTTTGGTGTATAGTGTGTTGTATGTAAACACGTCAGCTATATCCCAGATGATGGTGGTGATGACGGCGGAAGTTTAAAATTCCTTTACAGTCGATCTAACTTGGGTCAAATCATTCATACATTCGAAATATTTAAACATTTAATATCCATACATCATATTTTCTTCCCAAGTGTGTACTACAATTATTAATATAATTGTATGAACCGATAATCTGCAGTCCTCCTGATGCAAAAATGACCATCACTATTGTACTATTTTAAAGCTTCCCAATTAAGATAATTTAACGAAATACATTGAAAATTTACAAAGAATTCTATTATCAATATAAGAAATGTATTATAGGTCTCACACAAAACATACAAATAACAGACAAGGCAACAAAAAAAACTAGGTATTATCCTCCCGAAAACATTTACAAGAGCACCTACAATTTAACAAATTATTATTATTATTTTGCAGCATTTTAGTCTACTTATTTGTAAATTACAATATTTTTGTAGACTAAAGAACCTGAAGTATCATTCGGCCATTGGTGTTTAACTTAATATTGAAACATGAATGTTAACCAATAAGTCTTACGGAAATTTTGAAGTTTAATCAAAATGACGTCTCTTCGCATTTGAAATCACATCCTCTGGATTGCTCGCTGGGGGCTTTGGGCAGGGATAATGTATGGTGCTTTGAGACAATGTAATGTGAAAATGCGCTATATAAAATTAAATTGAATTGAATTTGACAGTTTAAGAAAAAATGTTGGAACTATGAACTAAATCAGGGTTTCTGGACAAGACGGTCCACATTTTTGCTGTCTCCCAATTCCTGGCAATTGGGAGAGAGCAAAAATGTGGACCGTCTGGTGGTCCCCGAGGACTGGGTTGAGAAACCCTCAACTAAATGATATGCTATAATTTACTAAACAATGTGATAATCGCTCATGCGGCGCCATGTTGTACTGCATACTTTTGGACGCTAGAGGCGCTGTATAAAATGTTTAAAGCAGCTGTCTGCGGTGTTAATTCTATGGTATCTGAACTTTACACTTTGAGGTGATTTGATCACTGTTCTGAACTGAAATATATACGAATTATTACAATTGAAAAAAAACGAAAAGCAATGCAAGAAGGAGAAATGGGTCATTAAGATTACAGTCCTGTATATGCGCTTGCAAAGCGGCTTGCAGTGACGTCACTCATTATCGGGAAAGGCGGAACCACACGCGTTTGCTGTGTGTTTATATTCTTAAGTGAAGGCTGCCTGCTGCGTCCAGTCAAGCTATCTGGTAAGAAATATTTAAATTTTATCGAACGTCCAATCGAACGGCGCACTTTATTATTATTTTCCGGAATAGTTTAAATATTCGAACTAAAAACATATTGTGGATAACTTGATTTTCGAATACGTATTGAAAGCTTGTTACCTTGGTGATGTCCTGACTGTAGAGATTAATCCACTTGAAATTAATTTAGTGCATGTAAATGTTTATTATTAGTAGACGTTTCAGGAACTATGAAATTAACTGGTGGGTTGTAGCTAATTTTATATTAAGTGATGCGGAAGAGAACCAAGCAATGATTCTGTAGTTAAAGGGGTTTGAGAAACTGTAGTACGTTGCTAGGCAACTGAAGCTACAGCTGAAGTCGCTAGCTATGGTACTTCAGTAGGCTAAGCAGTTTATAACATTAATCTCTTGTGGGTAAGGTAGATCCAATTAAAAAAATCTGGCTTAAACGAAGACAGATGATGGGAGCGGTTAGAAAATATGGTATCGGCGACGAGAATGCTTCACAGGTCTGGCAGTGCATCCGTTCACTGCGGGTCTAACGGAGCCTTACAGCGTACTGCACGTGGATAGGGGTCGAGCAGCAGTGTTTTTGCAAATATTGAAAAAAATCTCCACACAAGGGTGTATTTTTTATTATTATATTCAGTATTGGTATCAGTATTTCAATGAGACCCATTGGTTCAAGACAGGGCATCATTAACTTTAACTGTTGGGTTAGTATATTTCTTCACTATCTGATACTATAGTTTAAGGTTTGCAGTTACATGTGCACCAACTAGAGAGAATATTGATGCAAGAAGAAAATATCTACACCACCGGACATGCTGCCATATAACTGTTCCCTCAAACACCTGCTCTTGTCTTCATCAGTAGCGTCTAGCCATGCTGGTGCCAATCTTCACTCTCAAGCTCAACCACAAAATCAACCCACGTATGGTGACAGTGGGCAAGTTTGACGGGGTGCACCCCTGTCTTGCTGCGGCCACGCAGGCAGGAAAGGTAGGCCTGTGTTTCTAGGGCCTGTGGGAGACATGCTTTACAGCCCAGCCTTACTTTTAATTAATCTTCAGCTCCGAGAACTTTGCACGTGAATCTACAAAGGAGCATCCACATGTGGAGTAGATTAAAGTAAGCAGTATTGCTGCTGTTACTCCTGTGGCTTATTCTTATTAAAGATGTTCCTGCTAATTGTAGCATCCTTCCATCAGCTAATCAAACAAAATCGGAAGGTCGCCGGTTTGAATCCCAGGGCAGAGTGATTTCACTGTTGGGTCCCTAAGCAAGACCCTTAACCCCCAGTTGCTCTCGAGACTGTCTGACCCTGCTGTCTCAATTGCACGTCACTTTGGACAAAAGCATCTGCTGAAAAAATAAAAAATAAATGTAAAATTTACTTCTTGATGTTAATTGCTACTTGCAGGGCTGGCTATTTAACACCAAGCAGTGACTAAATGAAAGTCACATTTCCGCTCCTGTCTTTTCATACCCGTCTTCGGCTCAGAGCAATGCTGCAGCTGTTTAGTAAGGAATATTTAATCCTCCAGGTGTTCATCCATAACCCCCATGCCCGCGTACAGCGGCGGCAGCCCGCCTACCGGCTCAGGCACAGTGCACAGGACTCCGACATTTCCCTACTGAACATCAACCAGGCCGTCAGCTGCCTGACAGCCGGCGCAATGGGGCCTGGCCGGACGGGGCATGCCCTGCTCGTGGGCTCACAGAGCACCCTGCTGGCCTACGACGTGCATGACAATGCAGACATCTTCTACAAAGAGGTGGGCATGGCGTGACTGGCACTCATGCATTCAGGCAATGTCTTATACAAACACGTTGAATTGATTCACGCAATTGGATCAGCAAGCCGAATGATTAGCGGTAATTTGAAAGGCATGTTTTTGGAATGTCTTGTAGGTGGCAGATGGGGCCAATGCAATCGTCTTAGGGAGCCTGGGGGACATTCCCTCACCCTTGGCCATCATTGGGGGGAACTGTGCCCTGCAGGGGTTTGACCACCAAGGGAATGACCTGTTTTGGACGGTATGATTCCAGCCACAGTGATAATCTCCTACCCTCTGTTATGGGACAGAAACCTTATAGAATAATGCATCTGACACAGTATGCCTGTATTTTACCAACTTGAATTAACTTAATTGTTCAGAAATAAATGATCAAAACATTTTTTAAATGTTTTTCTTAAGGTCACTGGGGATAACGTGAGGTCTCTGATGCTCTGTGACTTTACTGGAGATGGAAAAAATGAGGTTGGTACCTAGAATCAGCGTATTGAAAATATAATACATGCAAATCCTTAATGAGCATCTGGTGTCACCAGCTACTCGTTGGATCAGAGGACTTCGATATTCGAGTTTTCAAAGAGGATGAACTGATATCTGAGATGACGGAGAATGAGGTATGGATCCCGGCTGTTCTGGTGCTGTTCTGAAATGCCATTGTCGCCACTGCAGTATGATTTGTGTACAGGTACGTGCTGCAGTTTGGACGCTGATGCCTTTTTCCTCCTCAGACGGTGACATCTCTTTGTCACATGCATGGCAGCCGGTTTGGGTATGCTCTGGCCAATGGAACCGTGGGCGTGTATGACCGTACCGCCCGCTACTGGAGGATTAAGGTACTGCACTTTTGCCAATGGCATATAATGAAATTCAACTGTAGTAAACGGCATCCTTTCAACCCATCTGTTTACCTTACACACATAGGCTGTTTCTCAATATGCGTACTTGACTATACTTGTGTTCTCATGTACCCGTTTTACATCATCTTCCATCGCCGGAGACCAGTTCCAATACTTAAAAACGGAAGTACAGAGGACGGCAAAAATTACCAGATGTCAGTCTTTCCCTGCCCCAAATATCCAGGATGCATCAGTTGTATGCTCGTCAAACGAGAGCAATCCCATGATTCACTGCGCCCCAAGTTCGTTCTTGGGAGGCAAGTTAGCCAGACCGATCTTACAAAGACCACAATTACGATCTTTGTGTTCTTGGTATTGAGAAAGGCCCATATTCTATGCCGTGATGTCATGGTGAGACTAAGCCTATCCCATAAAGTATAGAACATGAGCTGGCACTATCCAATCACAGGGCACACAGTCACACATAGTCACACGCAATAGACAATTCAGAGAGACCAGTCCATGTAAACTGGTACATATTACATATAGTACATATCGCGTAGTTGGTCAAACAATAAGCTTAGCTATGAGTAGTAGACAGGAGGAAGAAACAAAAAAATAAAACAAGTTCTCTCATGTGACTGGGGTTCCACAGGAATGATTCATGTGCAAATTCTCAGGATAGGAACAGCAGCTGTTCCCACAGAGCGAGTAGCTCCAGGACACACCAACAAAATGCACATCACAGCACTACAGAAATGCTAGAATCAGCTGCTGGGGGGGTTGTGGGTTGTCAGAAGACATCGATGTCTAAAAACAGGAAGAAAGTCCATGGATCCCTCATGACTGTAAGAGCGCTACGCTTTTAAGGTGTCTGATTTTCACAATACTGTGGCTATTATTGGATACTGAGTGTTTACTGCTGTCAGACTGGATGGGCAGAAACAAGAGTCATAATAGGTTAAAAATCTAGCTGCTTGTGATATATAACAGTCCTGAAAAGCTTCCCGATGTCTACACTCAGGCAGAACATGAGAAATCAGGATAAATATATTCGCCAAATATACTTGCATTTGTCTTGGTCAGATGCTCTCAGGCATATGACAAGACAGGGAAAAATGAATAAAAAAAAACAAAATTGGGAATACAAAGAATATTTTGAAAATTTAGTTATAGTAAAACTATGAAAATATAATTATAGAAATTAAACCAGGCCTTTTCATACCTTCATACTGTCTCGACATTATAGCATTTTTATTTTGTCACAGGAAACAAAACTTAGCAAGCATTGCAGTTTTACTGATTGTTCATTTTTAGGATTATGTAATATATACACATACAAGTTTTAAAAACCAGTTGGAAGTTTACCTCGGTGCTTTTGCATGAGCGCTGCATTGCGTTTCACGAAATGGTGATAATTATTTTCATCCTTGCAATTTAAATCACTTCTAGATGGGTTTGCGAGAAATTTATGTTGAACTCTTTTTTTGTATTATAAGTTCCCCAATATTTATTACAACAAAATCACATTGTGATATCTGGAAATTCATAGTATATCACACAAAATACCTTTTCTTGTTTTGCCATCTTGATTTTGCAGTATCTGTTTTTCTGACCAGGTCACAAATAAAGCTTGGATATCTTCCTTTGTCTACATAATGTATTATCATTTTTTTTTTTTTTTTTTTTTTTACTTTATCGTAACTATTTTCAAGGCAGCGGCTGTATTGTGTTTAGAGGCAGGCTCTTTGCATGACCAGTTGACAAAGAAAGCGCTTTCAAGTCCCACCCCAAGGTACCAAAGAACCAAAAAAAGTACCCCAGCTGGTTTGTTGCTTTAGGTTCTGGAACATTTGGTACTAATACTTGACCAGAAATCAATGGAAAAATGAAAGTACTGCAGCAAGATGATGGTACCTGGTGTGGTGGAAAAGCGTCCTGAGACCAAAGCTTGCATGTTCCCATCCAGCCACATTCCAGCCAGTATTGGATTGTGGTCCTTTTCTGACCGGTCAGGCTTTACCTCCATTTATAACATTAATAACATCTCATTTCAAGTTAAAGGGAAGGCGCACTGCCTTGATAAAAAAGGATGTAATTAATAATGAGCAGTTGAGATGCCTCTGATCTGATACCCACTATCGGTTCTGGGCCTGATATCAGGGGGAGTAGGAAACCAATCCGATGTTCATCGGAGATAGGGTCTAGCCTGAAAACCATGGAAATGCTTGTAGCTTTAGCGAGACGTACTGTAAACAGAAGTGAGGGTCACGTGGCGGTTAGCTGTTATGCAGCATTTGCATCAAATCTGTCATATAGGCTATGTGGAAATACTTACTGTACTCTATTCTGAAGGAAGAAAAGATCAACACTGCAGAGTGCAGTGTATGTAAGGCTACTGATCATTTTTCCTAAGGCTGAACTCGGTAAAATTTATACAAACTAAATGTCAACTAAAGATTGATTTCTTTATTATATCTCATTTTGGAACAGATTGCACAATTTGCACTACAATATTTCTGTTCGTTTTTGTGAAAGGTGTTACTGAACAAAACAAATAATCAGATTTGTGTAAATCATTTTGACTGTAGATGTCTTCCTGCAGCAGAGTGGCATAGCTGGTGTTTGGCCAACATGACCATTATATTTTCTTATCATACTTGAACAACAAACACTACTAATGCCATGTTAATTGGCACAAATATCTCATTTAATGCGAAGTAGTTGATAAAGGAGAAAAAATATTAGTTTTGGTATTGGCGGATACTCGATTTTAGCATCGGATGGAACCTTCAAAAATGATATTGTGTTCTGTAATGACCAGTAATGAGGAAGCTTTGTGTTTCTGCAGTCTAAGAATCACGCGATGAGCATCCATGCATTTGACCTAAATGCGGACGGGGTTGTGGAGCTCATCACAGGCTGGTCCAATGGAAAGGTCAGTGCGGCTGGACTGCCGGAGCCCTTTCTTTGCTCACACAAACATCTTCTCCCTACCGCAGCTTCCAGTTTCACGCTAGAGCGGTTCAGGTTCCAGGGCTCACACGGGACTAGAACTAAGGAGGTCAAACCATGTCTTTACCCACGGAGCTCCTTGCTAACCCAGCATGCTGCCGCCTCAGCATTTTTCACTCTGCCTTTACTGTTCTGCAAATCCAATCATGGTACACGTTTAGCGTGGAGGCGTAGCACTTAGCTCCATTTTATGTCTCAGATTGATGCCCGCAGTGACCGCACAGGCGAGGTCATCTTCAAAGACAACTTCTCGACCTCGGTGGCCGGTATCGTGGAGGGCGACTATCGGATGGATGGCCAGATGCAGCTCATCTGCACCTCTGTCGACGGAGAAGGTAGAGGAGGGTCCATCCAGTCGAGCCGCGTGCATCTCCAGCGCTAGGCGTTTTATGTGATTGGTGTGCATGCTGTGTGTCCGAGTGCGGGGCTACCTACCAGCCAGCAAAGAGATGAAGGGCAGCCTGATGGACAGCAGCGTGGAGCAGGACCTCATCCGTGAGCTGAGCCAACGGAGACAGAACCTGTTATTGGAGCTTCGCAACTATCAGGAGAATGCCAAGGTACTGAAGGACAGATGCACACACAACCGCTAAGGTACTGCGGCACCTACTTATAAAACACAAGCCTTGGGTCTGTCCAAACCATTGCCTGACTGCATTTGCAGGCTGTCCAGGGATCTCCAGGCCCAGAGGGGGACAATCAGATGGGGGTCATCCCAGCAAACACACAACTCCAGACTGCCCTCTCAGTCAAAGCGGCCACAGAGACTCAGAAAGCCCACATTGAGCTGAACATCTCAACACCCAATGGTAATGCACCTTAAAGCAGGCTTGCTGTTTAGCCTCTGAGCTAAACCTACACACGATTACTACATGCTCTGGGAAGTGTGAGGTTCAGGAGAAAGCACCTTCATTATATTTCATGGTTGGAAAGTCGTGGGGATTGAACCGCCTCCTCTGACCTGGTAAACTGATCCTGGCAAACACTGCCCTCTGATGGCAAAATGCAATAACTACACTGTCACTGAAAGTGAGAAAAGGGCTTTTTTGACTGTCCATCTGTATATACAGTAGGTAGGTAAATGGTACTGTAGTCATTCAAAATCAACCATAGCTAAAATAAGATATTTTGGCACAAGATAAAATAGAGCCTAAGAGACCCAGTTTTGGTCATAATTGAATTTTAATATAATATGCAGTTACAGTGCTTTGACGAGTTTTCCTTTGTAAGATAAATACTTTTAATCACTGAAAGGCCATGTTAGCCCAGACCCTGAAAAAGCATAATGTACTCTAAACCATGAGTAGTTCTATGAGTTCACATGATGTCCTGGAGGTATGACTTGATCATGCTTACCTGTTCTGCGTTCTCATTGGCTCTTCGCCGTCACCTGACCATCAGTCTCCACCCATCCAGACACCATCATCCGTGCGGTGCTGATTTTCGCAGAGGGCATCTTCGAGGGGGAGAGTCATGTGGTGCACCCTAGCGCCCAGCACCTGTCGGGCTGCATCCGCGTTCCCATAATCCCCCCAAATGACATCCCGGTGGACCTGCATATCAAGGCCTTCGTGGGGGGCAGGAGCAGGTAGGTGCTTTACTCCACATCACAGACCACAGAAATTATCTTCAGATTTCTTGGAAGGGAGGAGAAGGTGCATATGAAACCCAGTGCATGCTTGCTGATGGAAGGAACTCAAAATATAGAAATTTTCTTTAAAAGTAACAGACATGGCAATGAGCTCAAATCACCGTTCCCCAAGTAATACCTGTTTATCTGAAAGCAAGCTTAAAACCAGGTGTCACCATTAACCGACAAACTATGAACTCATGTATACCAGTAACTGATAGCAATGGACTGGTAATGTATGAATTTGATGAATGAATCATGAGGAACTATGGGTTATGAATTACACAACACCAAGTAATAAATACTAATGCACACCCTTCAATTCTTTTGTTTTTGAGGTGTTCTCCCTCTCAGCACGCGGTTCCACGTTGGCGCGCTAAGTCTGCGGCTCTCCCTCTCGGCACGCGGTTCCACGTCGGCGCGCTAACTCTGCGGCTCTCCCTCTCGGCACGCGTTTCCACGTCGGCGCGCTAACTCTGCGGCTCTCCCTCTCGGCACGCGGTTCCACGTCGGCGCGCTAACTCTGCGGCTCTCCTTCTCGGCACGCGGTTTCACGTCGGCGCACTAACTCTGCGGCTCTCCTTCTCGGCACGCGGTTCCATGTCAGCGTGCTAACTCTGCGGCACTCCCTCTCGGCACGCGGTTCCACGTCGGCTCGCTAACTCTGCGGCTCTCCCTCTCAGCACGCGGTTCCACATCGGCTCGCTAACTCTGTGGCTCTCCTTCTTGGCACGCGGTTCCATGTCAGCGTGCTAACTCTGCGACTCTCCTTCTCAGCACACAGTTCCACGTGTTTGAAATCACGCGGCAACTGCCCCGCTTCTCCATGTATGACCTGCACGTGGACGCCGCCGGCAGCCAGCCCACGGGGAGAGTGACATTCAGCATCAACGACCGGCCGCAGAGGGTAAACTGCACTCCCAGGCCAGGAGCTTCTCACTCTGTCACACTCTCAGTCTGGTTTTCACCATTTATCAAAACTGACGGCGTTTCAGTCTGTTTGTAAAGGCAGATGTTTCACTGGAGAAATTCTTGTCGTACTTTCAGGGGTATAGACTGTAGGGGTGCCATTGATCACTGTCTCTGAGCTAGACTCCCCCCCCCCCCCCCACCCAACTCCTCATATGTTGGTGTGATTTGTGACGCCCTCTCATTCTCCGTAGGTTGTCATATGGTTAAACCAGAACTTCCTGCTTCCAGAGGGAATGGGCTCCCCGGACGTGACCTTCACCTGCCTGCGTGGAGGGGGGCTCCTCAGCATCAGCATGCAGTCCAGTGGGGAGGTACAGTGTTCTAGAAGCGCTCAGAACCAGCTGATGTACGCAACCGAGCTTGACCCTGTAGACTGTAAATGCATAGTGTCAGGCTGTATTTACAGTCATTAGGGCAAATTACAAAACGAAAATGATTAAAGCCCGAACTTCTCACCATCAGGGCTTTTACTAAAAGATGTTGCCACTGCTCCCTGTTTCGACAGGGTCCTTCCGGCTCGTTCCAGATGACATTGAAGACTGACAACATGGACTTGGCCGGGGACCTCGTCCAGTCCCTGGCCTCCTTCCTGGCCATCGACGAGCTGCAGGTTGAAGCAGATTTCCCTGCGTATTTCGAGGAGCTGCGGGTGACCCTGGCTGAGGTGGAATCGCACGCCGCACTCTGTTCACACCGTCCACCATGGCTTCTGAGATGCTTAGTCATGCAGAGGGGTGTCTGATTCAGCCCACAGATACTTAATCTAGTGATTTCTCTTCCCCGTTTGCTTTGTAGGTGGATGACTACCACAAGGTCCATCAGAAGCTGACGGCGGACATGGCCGACCACTCGAACCACATCCGCACCATGCTGGTGCAGGCAGAGGATGCCAGGCTCATGGGTGACATGTAAGTGACACTGCGTGTTTGGAATAACGTCGAGGCATGTTTTTCATGAACCTGCCTACACAGCAGTGGCTTTACAGGTAGCTGTAGCAGAATTGAGGTTCACAGGGGAGGATTGTAATGTATTATCAGGCACTGAAGAGTTTAACCCACTTTTAGTTCCTATTGGGTTCACCTGGTAAATCTACCCACCTCAGTTCTACATTGACAATAAGAAGGGTTCGATTGGGAAGAAAAAATATCTAGTGTTTTTGATTTTTCAGTTGAGAAAATTTGAGGTTTGGAATAGTTTCATTTACATTATTTATTCAGTAAGCCCTTTTATCCAAAGTGACATACAAGCAAGGTAGGCAGTGCATCATAAGCATATAGCAGGCAAAGAGCCGGCATAGCTTGGCTTAGGACACTAAGTAGAAAGAGCTTTCAGAGTCTTGCCTCTCCTCCTTCATGTTTATATTTAGTCGTTTCACTTTATGTTCAGGAGGAACATGAAAAAGCGCTACGTCGAGCTTTATAACCTGAACAGAGACCTGATTAATGAATACAAGATCCGCTCCAATAACCACAACACCCTCATCGCCGGCCTGAAGTCCGTTAACCAGGCCATCCAGCGAGCCGGCCAGCTGCGGGGTGAGCATTGAGGCTGAGCGCATAGCCTGTCCCTAACACTCTCCCTACGGCAGAGTTTCTCAACCCACTCTACAGGGACCCTCAGACAGTCTATATTTTTGCTCCCTCCCAGCTCCCAACATACCTGAATCAGGGAGCAAAAATGTGGACTGGCTGCAGATCCCTGAGGAATAGGTTGAGACACTGACCAGTAGCCCAGTAACATGTTTCTTGCTGTATGGTAACCTCTTTACTATATGCTGGGGAATCCTAACATCAAAAAGTCAGAAGTTACCACCGTAGATGTTCCATGGCCGTGCAGTGAGTTTATGGTGCCCTGGTTTGAATATATGTATCCATCCTTTGGATCTTACCATGTCAGACTGGTTCTTCTGTCTGTCCCTTAGTGGGCAGGGCCAAGACCCAGGTCATCACAGCATGTCGAGATGCCATCAGGAATAACAACATCAACGCCCTTTTCAAGATCATGAGGGCAGGTACAGCTTCTTCCTGAGAAAGACTACTGCTGGTACCTCGGAAATCCCTACATGGGGGAGTGGAGATTCTGGTCCGGAAATGATACCAAGCCTGCCGGCAGCTGTAGGAGAGAGACCCCCCCAGACTGGCACTGGACATGTCCCATTCGGGTCATGGAAGCTGCTCTGATAGTTACCTTAAGCCAAGAAGTCTTCGTAAGACTAGCTTGTGCAGGTCCGCAGGAGGACATCTAGGCAACTTAGAGGAGCCATTGAGTGACAATGACTGAATCGTCATGAACATGCTGCTGCAGCCAAAGAAACACAACACTGATCACCAGTCACGTGCAAGAACATCAATGGTGGTTCTTTTCAAAACTTATAAACAGTAATCTTGTCTGTGTATATACATATTTCTGTGATATTTATATAATATTCATTTGAATTTAATAACAATCTTATGTTACGACTTTCTTACTTTGGGTCTTGGAAATTGGAATATTCACGTGCTGAGTAAAGATTAATTATGTGAAATACTGGTGTAATTTTCATTTATATGGATGATTTAACGAGTATATTGGACATATTAAAATAGACTAACGGTGAAATCCTAATTGGACGGCTAAATGAGTTTTTCCTCCTGTTTCCTACTAATAATACCAGGATTCAACCACTGTTCATTCTACTGTTTGAACCACATGTCGACAGGACGGCGAGGCTGGAAACTCTGTACAAGTACTGAGTGGCGCGTTAACGGCGACATGATTTATGGTATGCTTCCCGATCCTGGAACAGTTATCGCAGCTTATAAAACGATGCAAAGCTCCGCAGCCCAAACCCCATAACTAGGCGCCCAATCGCCTGCACGTAAGTCTCCGGTTGCCTCGCTGGCATCTGGCGTGCAGAGGGATTCTGGCTGGAAAGAGGGACGCTGGCGAACACGCCTTCTCTTAAGTTACAGGGGGAGACGAAGTGATCGCAAACGCATCAGGTAGTTGTGCAAGTATAATAACAATTATTACTTTAGTTTTTACAATTTTTAAAGGCTCGTTCAAAAAAGCTGTTTCAATCAGATCCAGATGTTGGCAGCTGTGCCGCGTTTGCGTGCGCGACTCGCCTTTTTCATTGCGGTAAGCGTGACGAATGCCTGCGACGATTTATATGGCTTGGTGCTAGCAATTATGTTTAATGAAATTGAGTATATCCCGGCAATAAGCGACTGCACGGAAGGTTTTTAACGTAGGCCGGATTTAGTACCAGAACGAGCCTCGATCTTGGTTTCACTGCCTTAACCCTCACACTTCAAGTATATCGCTACAAGTATTCAGGCAGATTTTGGCTGCTGAAATACATCATCTCCTTAAATCGGTCTGCATTTTTGGAAATTCTCGGCTATACTATGACTGTTTTTGGCGGTCACTAATGCAAAACAGAAGACCAGCGTCCCAGCACGTATTTGGCAGAGGTGAATTAAAGACTGAGTGTGAATTGGTTTGTAGATTTGAGCAAGTTTAATAGTTTGAGTAGCATATGAAATATAAGCGGTAGATCATCGCCTAAATAGTTCTTTATGAAATCTTCGTTTTTAACAATTTTCGTGAATGGACGAATATAAACACATGGACATGTTTAACCAGAACTTGCTCACAGATGTGCCACTGCTGTTTCAGATGAGTACGTATGAACTATGTGGAGACTTTCCCATCCTTTTTAAATATAAAAGTAATGAACAGTAATACTGATACTAACCTGACACGTTTACCTGGAGCAGCCGTGTTCTACTTCAACAAGATCTGAGGAAATAAAAACACGACCATCGGGGAGTTGCTGAAATTGCCGACTGTCGGGCATTTTAAAAGTGTTAACACTATTTACTTGCACAGCAAATGGCATGAGATCAGTAATCTTTGCGAATCAAGACGTACATTTACAAAGAATGTCAAGTAAGTGTAGGAAAGTCATCTTGGGGAGGAGCCAGTCAGTGTAGATGTATGCATCAGACAAAAAAAAACAAAACTGAACTCTGACCCACTGGTGTTTCCCAGGCTAAAATCGGGCCTGCCAGTGGACATCTGACGGAAGACTTCCCTTTAAGGGGACAAGCCCCGCCCCAAACACCACAGACATGTCTGTTAACATCATCCAACACAGGCAAAAACCAAAAAGAAAAAAGTGAATTTGAGGTGAAAAGGATTTTTAATGCTGGACACACAACCATTCCGTAACATATCTGTCTCCAGGGATTCTTTGAGTTATGCTAGTGCAATGAATATGAGCCGGACTTAAAAGTTCAGTATGAAGCAATCCTCACTGGATAAATCCACGTGAAATTGCCTGTTTAACGTCGGGAGGTTTGGAAGTGCTGTGAGTATTAAGGCAGGAGCCAGACTGACCTTTGAATGATGAGGAGGTTCCACCTGAAGGGGGATGTGCTGTGCACCGTGATCCTCCTGCTGCTCTGTCTGGTGCTGTATTCCTGGTACGGCTTCCAGAACGTGCGGAACCCTTGGCCTCTAACAGAGAGGCTCACCAGCCCCCCAGCTGCCCTGACAGCCACGCATGAGAGACGGACATCGGTACGAGGTCCCAACAGGCTCACCGATCGGGCCACCTGCCAAACCCAGTCCCGAGCACCGGCCTCAGTCCAGCCCAGGGTAAGCCCGAGGAAGGAGGAGCCCCCTACTGGTTTACCTGCAGCGACACACCCACCTTTCGACTTCCAGCAGTACCTGCGGAACAAAGACTGTCGGCACTTCAGGCTTTTGATTGACCAGCCGGGGAAGTGCTCGGGGGGCCCGGGGGAGGCGCCCTTTCTGCTCATCGCTGTCAAGTCAGTAGCGGCCGACTTCGATAAGCGGCAGGTGGTGAGGCGTACCTGGGGCCAGGAGCGTGCCTTTCCAGGTGGGCTGCAGGTGCGGACGGTCTTCCTGCTCGGCGTGCCCCAGAACCAGACCCAACTCCCGATGTGGGACCGGCTGCTGGCTTATGAGAGCCAGTCGTTTGGGGACATTCTGCTTTGGGATTTCGAGGACACCTTCTTCAACCTTACCCTGAAGGAGACACACTTCCTCCAGTGGGTGGACCGCCGCTGCCCGGGTGTCCGGTTCATCTTCAAAGGCGATGCCGATGTCTACGTCAACGTGGAGAACATCCTGGAGATGCTGCAGGGGCAGGAGTCCAGCAAGGACCTCTTCATTGGCGACATCATCGTGCACGCCCGACCAATCCGCAGGAAAGCCAGCAAGTACTTCATCCCCGAGCTCATGTACGGCCTGGGCATCTATCCGTCGTATGCTGGGGGCGGCGGCTTTGTCATGTCGGGTTTCACAGCGCGCCGGCTCCACCTGGCCTGCCAGCAGGTGGAGCTGTTTCCCATCGACGATGTTTTCCTGGGCATGTGCTTGCGGCGGCTCGGCCTCCGGCCCGTCCGGCACGACGGCTTCCGGACTTTCGGCATCATGCGGCCATCGGCGGCCCCCCACCTGCAGATCTTTGATCCCTGCTTCTATAGAGAGCTGATGGTGGTCCACAGCCTGACTGTTCCTCAGATCTGGCTCATGTGGAGGCTCCTGCACGACCCCCGGCTGCTGTGCCACACGCGGCCATCGCAGCCCGCAAGGCCCTTCAGGTGGAGGGGGGGACCCCAGGCGATGGGCACCCCCTCTGACCAAGACTACTCATCCCAGGCGTTCGTGAGACACTGAAGACGTCAGTCCACCACAGACCAACCCAAACAGCATACAGCATGTCATTATCCTTGAGCTTGGCAGTTACAAATCACCACATGGCAGTGCAAATTCTGAGACTACCTGTGTAACAAGGACTACCTTAAAATAAGTGTTTATAAAGCTGTACCACTGGCAGTGCGAATGGGCCGTGGCCCCCGCCAGCATGCAGTGCAGGCTTAACAGACACCCACGTTGACGCCGCATCTTTACATTTTAAATCGCGCAACGCTGTAAACAATAAATCACGAGTGACCACAGTCTGCTGAGTCTGCAGCTGCACACCAATCTCTTTCAAAATGTATTTTTATAATCTTGTGGTCACTTTTAAAGATGGTTATTCCACGAAGAAAAGGAAAAAAAAAAAAAAAAACAGTGAAAGCCTCCATTTTGAAACAAATTTCTTAGACCTGACAGGTAGATAGATTTCACAGTTCATGTATTTTACACATTTATTACGGCATTGAATGTAACAGGAATCAGGATTATCAGCAAAAACAAATGAGCCGTTCTTAAGAACTGCAGATGTAGCGGTTATCACAGAAGGGATGGCTCTTTCCGATCAGGTAGTACAGCGCTCCTGCAACACGGTGAGAGTGTGCAGTTCATTTCAGCTCATGCAAATTTCACCCGGCGGTATTTATTGCCTCAGACATGCTCACCGGAGGGCCCGACGCAACTGCCGCTCTTGGCGGCTGGTGGCATACGGATAGCCAGCATTTCTCAAGCCAGTCCACAGGGACCTCCAGACGGTCCATGTTTTTGCTCCCTCCCAACTCTCGGGGAACTGGGAGAGAGCAAAAACATGGGACTGTTGGACTGGTTCGAGAAGCACTGTTATACACAAGTAAAAATGTAAAAAACATAAAACACAACAATCCATAAATTGAATTCATCATTTTAATCAAGGCTAGCCCCATTTCCAGAAATGGGTTAAAATGTACTTAATCCACAAAATAATTACGCTTGCAAGGGTGAGTACATACAATAGAGAGAATATATGCGTTTACATAAACTTTGCTCTGGGTTAGACAGACAGCACTGCCGTCTCCCAGTTACAATCTTAGGGGCAAGTCTGTGTCCTGAGGCAAAAGAGAGCAAAAATTCAGGGGAGAGGAAACCTACCAGATGAGGTGAGCTTTCATTTCGCTCCTGAATTGTCTTATAAACCAATCACCTGAAGGCTGTTGATGAAAACTACAGTGACATTTGGTTACACAGAGACTGTCACTGCGATGACCATGTGACAGTTCCACAGTGATGTTGCTGGAAGATTCCAGAAGCTGTGGTCACACAGGGCCAGCCTATGGGAAGTATCCTTTTAATTATTTACACACCCTAGAAAAGCAGCTAAGGTGTTGGAAAGGGACACACAATAATCCCCAAACACTGACAGCATAACTTTTTGAAGCAGAGAAATTTAAGTACAGATGTAAGTCAATATGTAACCCAGAAGCATTCTTGAATCTAGAACGCGAAGTGGCCGGCTTGGAGCTGAAAGTGGCCGGCTTGGAGCTGAAAGTGGCCTTTCTTATCCAGCAGCCCTTAATGACTTTGGCACAACCCCCTGTCCTTCTTTTTGTTCTCTTTTGCGAAAGATTCATTTGTCTGTCTTGTGGAGCACACGCACTTCACAATCTCACATGGTGACAGTTCATGCGCATCATATGTAATGCATTTCACTATTTCTGTTAAACGAATGTCAACACAGGCTGGGCACAAATTTACTTTTTAATTTTTCCCCCCCATTTTTTTTTTTCGCAGTAAGCACAGCCAGTACTATAGTACAGCCTTCCATTGCAAACCTTAAAACAAATTAAATTAAAATAAAAATAAAATTAAAAAAACAGTAACGGCAAGCAATGGAATCGGGAAACTCTGAACACTGAAAAGCCAAAGATGGGGGTTAATGGGAAAAGATTCCGCGGCTGCAGCCACAGATGCTGGAACACTGTCCCGGGGGTAGGTGCACTCGAGGCTGGTCCTGGGGGGCCACAGGGCTACGGGGAACCATTAGGCTTCGCAAGCCGTCTCTCTGCAGCTTGGATTAAAGCAGGCCGCCCCAAACAGACCAGGTCGAGTGCCGGTTTATGGCACTAGGGGCTCCCCCCCCCATCCCAAACGGACATCCCTGGAGACGGACCCCGGCTAAGGAATCCATATCTCCATCTTCTGCGCTTTACGCAACGCAGGGTTACATCGTAAAACCTTTTTAAAAATGCTTTTTCTTTAAAATGACGAAAAAGGTAGGTGACGTCATATTTACAGATCTGTACATTTCGCTGCGCCGAATCACGCCAGGCTTCCCTGGCAGAACATTTCAACAGAAAAACAGAACGAGGCCAGACTTACGTTCCATTAAAAAACCCTATTAAAAGCATTATGCAAAAACAATTTGATCATTTCATTAATGACAAGAACATTTCAAGAATAATAATAATAATAATAATTAGACATTTTTTAATCATGAGGAGAACAAAGTACTTGGTATAAATGAATGAGTTAAGATTAAATATGGTTGGGGGACATTATGTGCAGTTTCTGAAAGAATCGATGGGAATGTTGTTTATTTTAAAGCCCAAAAACAAAACAAGAAAAAAAAAAACCTTCACATGTTAGAATAGTCTGATTATGCCTTTATTTCTAATTTTAGCTTTAAAAAGTGAAGGCCGTGGGGGGGGGGGGAGCTGTTATAATGTAACCCATTTCCTATTTCATGGAAACACAAATTCCTCAGTGGAAATAAGACTCAAGTACATAACGTGTATATTTTAGTGCAAATGTTTAAACTACTACACTGAAGGAAAGAAGAATGTACCTACAGGGTAGTAGGTGAGGGGAGGGCGATGGGGATCATCGACGCTGCGTTCGGGACAGAGCTATACAGACTCCTGTCTCTGATGACACTATGAGGGGAGGGGGGGCTTGTGCTTATAGTCACTAAACATTATACAATGTCTTAAAATGAGCAGATCCTCACTCTGTGTGTTAGCGAACGCGAGTCACTTGGTACTCGACGTGCTGCATGTACGCCAAGCTCACGCGTGTGATCAAAGCTCCCTGTCCGAAGGGAGCAAGACTCACGCCATTGCATCAGAAATAACGCCACTTCCTACAGATAGAAGCATGCTTTACATCACACACATCCGCCTCTGACTGGCCATTCCTGTGGACACTGGACATGCAACGGGTGAAAGGGGGCGGAGAACAGATGATGTGAGGATGGCGGGAGAGGCATACTGGTCACAGAGACTCAGTACTGGTGTACCTGGCTTGGTGGGCTGAGGACGAGGGGGAGGGTGACCTCTGGGTGTTCCCAAAGGTCAAAGGCTGCCTGTAGACTATTATCAGCACCCCCTGGAGGGCACAGAACGGAAAAACCGGGGCGACTTGCGGAAAGCTTCTCGCGACGGTGGGAATCAAGGCACACTGTACTGTTGTGATGTTCCTCTAGATGTGGACGGAACTCAGAGGGGGCAGGATGGGTGTAAATGCGGGGGGGGCATGGGGCCCGGTTCGGGCCTGGGCGCTGGGCCGTGGGCTGCCGTACAGGGTGACTGACGCGATGTGTTTGTTCTGCATCACCTGAAAACAGCAGGAGGCACTTTCAGATCACACATTACTGTAATGACACACACTAAACACTGCAAACAGCCAAACACACACGTCCACGCTGATGACGACACACACTAAACACTGCAAACAGCCAAACACACACATCCACGCTGATGACGACACACACAAAACACTGCAAACAGCCAAACACACACGTCCACGCTGATCACGCAAAGCTGCTTAGCCAGAGGGATGATTTATATGTACTGATTCAACTCGATATTATACTAGAGCAGCAGTTCCTAATTATTCCCTGATGGACCAATTCCGTCAGTAACACAAATCCAAGGGCCATCTCCTTAATATTTACCAACTGATGGGGTGGGGGTGTCATCAATAAAATTTGGTGAGTGAGGGGGGGGGGCAGGGGATGGATGGATCGATCGCAGAATCTCACAGGCTGGATTTGGCCTACTGGGGAACCCTATACCACACACACACACACACACACACACAAACACACAGCATACTATCATCCTGAAGTCTTACCTCAAAAATCATCCTCTGCAGGCCAAAGCAGAAGGTTGAGCCAAAAGGGTTGGTGTTGTTCGCAGACGATGACCTGCGTGTCAGAGGTCACACACATCAGACAGGATGAGCCCAGAGCACACGGTGTGTCCTTGGAGCCGCTGTTTGGCTCCTGTCTGACCATCAGGAATTCTGGTCAGAATCCCAGTGGGCGCATGAGTTTGCAGACTGGGAAAATCTGTGGTGGGGAACCCCAATCTTGTGCCAAATGTTAATTCTGGTCCAGCCCCAGTCAGAAGGTATGAGAGTTATACATCTCCTACGTCAGGGGTGGGGGTCTTGTTCCATGGAGGGCCGGTGTGGGGGTGGGTTTTTGGGATGACCTCTCAGTCAGCCAATAGCAAAACATTGGTTCTCAACTCCAGTCCTGCGGACCCACTGTCCCCAAAAGCCCCAAACCCCAAAAACACGCACCCACACCGGCCCTCCACTTCCCCACCCCTGTCCTAAATTATATATGATTGGATGGTTTCCACACAGGGGGACACCTATCAGCAAGGCAGAGGCCATTCAGTACAGAACAGCGGCTTGTAGCGAAATGCAGGGTGCCACGATTGTCAGAGCTGCATATCAGATGGACCGGCTAAAGAAGCAAAACCAGCAGAGCTGTAAGTGGAGGGCCAGGACACAGGGCAAGGGGCTTCCACACAATCCATATTTCACACGGCAAGCGAACAGCACCACCTGCAGGTACCCAGGGACAATTCAACCTACTGATTCGGCCCTCACCTGTGGAGGACGACAGGCTTCTCCATAGGATGACCCAGGAGCTGCTGAATGTGATCCCACTGTAAGAAACACAAAAGGCTGTCAAGCACACCACCCCTAATCCACCCCACCCCCCCCAGAGGACAAACACTGCAGCTGAGAGTGGCACCTTCATAATGCTGAACACAAAAAGTCAACGTCGAGACAGGCGTCAGACATGACCTCAGCGTGCAAATACCCAGTGTGAACCTGAAGAGGCAGGAGGTGGAAGATCCTGTCGAGGACGACGCGGGATTCCTACCTTGCTGAAGGTGGTCAGGATGCAGTCTTCGGGCTGAGCCTCAGCACCTTCTGGAGAAGGCCAGAGAACACAGGTGAGGCAGAGAGCGTGGGCCACGGAGACGGAGCACACTCACTCTGCAGCGGGGGTGGGGGGGCACCTACCAGTCTTCACAACAAGTGGGATCTTGAAATCACAGCGGTGGTATCTGTTACAAGATGGCAGGGCATGTATGAGCATGAAGGGCATTTGCAGTGAACAACTTTGCACTCAGCCTACTTGATGAACACGTAAAAGCCTCATTCAGGATCAGGCTGCTTACATGTTGAAATTGTAATGACCGGGGAAATTGGTGTGGAGGACGAACTTCTTCACTAGGTGCGTAGTGGCATCGAACAATATATCCTGAGTTGGAGCAGCGGTGAGGGGGAGGGAAAAGAGAGAACAACAGATACTTTAGAACTAAAATTTGAACTAAATTTCACCTTGTGTTTATATCTACATATTTAAAATGGCAGATCAAGTGTCAGCCAAACACATTACAAATCAGAGGGACACGGAGGTATATGTCCTGAAGTTTGATTTGCTCCTTAATTACAATAAATTGCATAATTACACTCTTTGATTTAACTTCTAAAGGCTCATCCTAAAGACATCTTAAACCGTTTTGCGGGTTTAAATAATTTGGCCTCTGCCTGTGCAGTTCTGGCTAGCACCGCCGCTAAATGCTAGCATCCAGCCACCAAGCTGACAGTTCCAGCATACAGCACCCTAACTGAGAATGGCTAACTCTTAGCACACCACAGCACCCAACCCTAACCCTAACTGAGAATGGCTAACTCTCAGCGCACCACGGCACCCAACCCTAACCCTAACTCTCAGCGCACCACGGCACCCAACCCTAACCCTAACCGAGAATGGCTAACTCTCAGCGCACCACGGCACCCAACCCTAACCCTAACTGAGAATGGCTAACTCTCAGCGCACCACGGCACCCAACCCTAACCCTAACCCTAACCCAGCATGTCAGCACTGATACGCACCACTCCCAGAGTGAAGTAATTGAAGAAGTAGTCGTTGCATTTGGAGGGAACCTGCTTATGTGGGGAGGGGGAATGGATCTTCATCTGGAAAAGGAAATGGGGATGGGATTCAAGTCCGCAGTCATGAAACCTAGACAGTCATCATCATCAGAAGAGAAGGAAGCAGCGGATCAGGAGGACAGCTTCTGCGCACCTTATCCTCGGACTTGTAGAACACCTTGTGTGGGGAGCCCAAAGCGCTGAGGACGTCCTGACAGGAGTCTCCAAAGTAGATGCTGCTCTCAAGGGTGCGGACCTTCGCATCTGCCATGACCCCCAGCCCACATCCTGTCGAAGAAACCACAGAGAGAACATGTAAACACGCACATGGGGGCGCAAGCACGAGGCTAATGTGGAGATTTAGGTTAAGGGTACCTGCCGTGAGGAGGCGGAGTCGGAGGCCTAGTGGGCCAGCCCCATCCCTTAAGACATCCACGCTCTCCGCGTACACGTTGCCAAGGAAACAGGCCAGAGGCATCCCCGGAGCCCTGAAACAGCCACCGCAAAGGATCCGGGTCTTAGTAAACACACACACCTTAGGGTGGGGTTCAGTATCATTTTTCTATTTAAGGGGAGGGTAAATACGGGTGCTCACTTGGTGTCCTGCAAGCTGTTCCCGGTGTAAATGAACATGCGCTTCACTGTTGCCCCATGAGGAATCTGCAGACCAGTGGAAAAAGTTAGGCCATCAAGGTAAAACAGCTAAACCTAATGGGCTGTGCGAATTTTCACTTTGCATCGTCCAATTACCAGCCCACTCATTTTTGACAAGCTACATGTGAAATTACTCGTATATACAGACACATCACATCCATACAAAAAACAATCACAGCAACCACTAATTTTACTGAACATAAATTTAACTTAAAAACCAAACTAGAACCACAGAGATTAAACAGTAAACTCAGTATATAAAATCCTTAATATATCAAGAAGTCTTATGGGGAACAGAGTTTTAATGAACCCCATACAAGTAGGACTGAGAATGGTCAGACAAGGTCTAAGGACAAACATCTCTGACAAAATGACTTTACTGGACCAGCCGGGAATCTCACCTCATATTTCGGAGCTTCGCTCCAGGAATCCAGTTGGAAGGAGAAGGAGAGCCCTCGGAAATTCAGGTGGAAGAGCTGTTCAGCGGCATTGTAAACTGCGGAGGGTGGGCCCCATTCAACTTAGAACCATAATCCTTCAGCGTCCCATTATGCATAGTGCTTTAGACCACGCCCCCACCGCACAACAATAACAGCACTAATGATGAGATTTAAGTAGTAATGTATCCCAGGCGACCAAGTGTAGAAAAGGGAAAAAGAGTTTATGGACTCATTTAATTCAATTACAGCACAGAGGACACAACACTAATGGCAAATTTGATGAGGAAATGACAACATTTGTAATCTGCTAGGTAGTTACTATCAATGAAGAGAAACCGAACGCGAAATAAGAGAGAGAGCACACAGGACAGAGAAGACCTCTTACCTCCTGGGTGTGTAGCGCCAAAGGACTGGTCGATCTGTTCTATGGTGGGTGCGATAGCCTGAGAGTTAAAGTGAACTCCACTGCCCAACAGAGATAGCACATTACCAAGCGGTACCGTAAACATCCTATAAGCACATCCTACGTAAAAGAATAAACCTCACAGCCTTGAAGCAAATTAAATAAGAAAACACCACTTTCTTCAAAGGAGGACAAGGGCCAGTTAAGGAAAAATAAAGAGGCAAAGAAATGGTGCCCCCCCCCCCCCTAAACATCAGCGTCATCTGTTTATCAGTGGGGCTGAGAATATCATGACCACTCACCAGTATTTCAGTTTCACCTTAGTCATGTCATAGACTTCGATTACCTACACAGGACAAAGGCACAAGAAGTCACTCAGAGGCAGCGGCTGGGTGTCGCTACAGGTCATGTTGTAGGAACAATCAAACAAAGACATGCAATAAATGGCTTTTGTGCCTCAGAACTGGAGCACAAACAAGGTGGCCTTTCATCACTTTCACACTAACAGTACTTCGCAAATTAACTCGCTCTTAAAGAGACAGAACATTTTTAATGTGCAAGAGATGCTGAGTAGACATTCAGTAAGTTGAAACTTAAAAAAGTATTAATTAACACCGTATGGAAACAAACACACCTCGCAGTTTGTTGAAAGACTCCGAGGAATGCTACAGGGATAACATCACCATCTCGCACACGGACAGTATAACATCTACAGTCTCACCTTCAGTCTCTGATTACAGGCATCAAACAGTAGTTTAATTCCATCCTGAGTCAGGTTGAGAATGAGGTCATGACTGAGTGGTGTCTAAGAACACAGACAGTGGACTTTAGTACAGTTCTATACTTATGTGATCGACAAGCACGTAGCAATAAGTTTCCTCTCGGAAATCAACAAAGTCAACACAGTGTAGTACTGCACGAAGCCTGGGACCAGCCCATGACATGCACCCGCTAACCTGCTCACTGTAAAGGACCTGCACATTCTTGATTATGCGGCAGTGTTTCTGCAGAATGGAGATGGCCTGGGCCAATGGCATCCCTGAAAGACGCAGAAAGAATAGCTTAAAACATTGCCGTATTTACGCGAGAAAGCGATCAAGACATTATTGCAAACGCAAACCCCTGTAAACACTCAACTTCCGGTTTCTCATTAAGGAGCCAACAAAAACAGACACTACACATATCTTACCTCCAGTACAACTGTTATGAAGTTTGCACTTGCAATAAATATTAAACAACGTCCGTCAACAAGTTTACTGGCAACCAAGCAAACCAAATACCGTTATAGCGCCAGGCACCCATGTGTATGTAAATACTGCACCTAAATGCAGCTATGTGGCTGCTGCTCCACAAGTCCCTGCTAGACGGTTAGCATCAGTCTGTAGTGTAAATGAGGGCATAACGACACTGACAGCTCACCTAGTGCGAATTCCCATTGCTCATTTCCTAGCGATCTCTCCGGAACGACCTCCAGATCCAGCATTGGCGAGTTGGTGGTCTGGTGTTCAGCTCGCTTCCCCGCCTGAACTCGGGCTATTAGGCTTAGCTTACAAACAACGCCGGCAAAACACCTCGACGGGAACTAGTCCTCGAAGACCGTCGGGATCGGCGACATTAACAGCAGTCACGTTTAAGCAACGCCGTGACACCTAAGCAGCGGAAGAAAAGTCGGAGGCTCCCTGCAGCAGAGTCGCTTTGCCGCCCCGGTAATGTGGCACCGCTGTTTGCCAAGTTTAAATAACACAAAACAACCTAGCTAACGTTCCTGTTATTAAGATTAATAATTAATAAAATACGCATACACAAAAACACACTGGCACGTAAAAACCAGCAGGAACGGCCCCGTCAATTCAATAAAAATGTTAATCAGTATCAGAACAGCCCAGTGCTCAAAATCGCCAAGTCCGTATCTAAAAGCCTCGTCTTCTGTTTCACCCGCTTCCAGTCAGTCACTAGAACGTTATCGGCAATTTACTGCTTCACAGATTTATGTTAAAAAAATTCAAACAGTCGGATAATAAAACGTAGTTAACGATGTGATCAATATTACACCCGCTTCTTATTGCTACCCAATAAGTTTCTCAGCTGTCTTCGTCAATAAATTACGAAATGCCCTTGTCTGTTTTATCCAATAAAATACTGTCCCTGTACCTGGCACGACATCTGTACATAGTATCTAGTATTTATTCATGCCTTGTTTTTCCTAGTAACGTAGTTAGCTAGCTGGCCAGCTACACAGAATTCGGCCAGATAACGTAGCAAAATTACAACTTCAACATTTATCTGTGATGTCAGGTTACCACGGAATTTTGTCTTATTTGCTTGTGTATTTTTCGTGTTTTAAAGATAAAGGCGATAAGCACATTCTCCCAGCGGCGGCAGCAGCTATTCCCATTAAAAACAGTTCAAATCAGCTGATACTGACTTCCGGTACGAATGACGCAGATACTTCCTGGTCACGTGGTCCGCCAGCGAGCCGTGGACCTGGGAATACGGACACGTGTTTTTGTGCTCCAGGGGTTGTGAGACGTGTGACTTAAATAAAGCTTATGATTTCGTAATCGTGCCGCTGCTTTTCGTTTTATTGCGTATTTTTACATTTCATAAAGGTCATACAAAGCAGGTTACGTAACATGTAATAAATATTCCCTCGGATCATATTTAGCTGTTGTGCTTCTGAATTGATCATGATAATTTATAATTGTTTTCTTGTTTGCTAGAGACCGATGCATTTTCAAACCGTATCTTATTACTGATCTCATGAGTGTCTTCTGACACGTCTATAATGAAACCATGTGGAGTAGTAAATAAAGGTTCGCGTAAGTTTGTCGGCACTAGCCTTTAAATGGGCATCTTTACAAAATGTATCATACTTTTAAAATAGATGTAAGGTATTTTTAATAAAAGATGTAAAATGGTGAACGTTTGCATTTAAAATCAGACACACTGTTAAATTTGATACAAGTTTATTAAGAAAAAAGAAAAAAAAAACACTTCAGAATCAGTCATTTCCCCAACAAAGTAAAATGTAGCGAAAGCGATCTTTGTCACATAAGGCAACCATTGAAAAACAGGAAAAACAGAAGTACACATTGTCTTTTCTTCATAACCGAACCTGAAAACTGAACAAAGCTCCGTTTGCTTCAATAACTTAAACAAATAAGAAAATTAATCAATAAAAAAAGATGAGGCAAGCTTTCCAGTAGACAGTTAACTGTGTGTAACTCCCGGCCTTAATGCCAGCATTAAGAAGGGATGAATGAGTATAGGGCAGGCTTTTAAAGGGGCGCTGGGCAGCGGCCAATGCCCTGAGGAAGGGGGCGACACTGTCCGTCGCGGCTACTAAGGCTATCATCTGTACCTAGATGTTCGCCAAACTCTTTGGCTGAGAAAGTTCAGTTTGACTGCAAATACCAATATGTGGTAAGGAAAAAAGTGGGGAAAATGCACATACAACCCCGGATATGTATAATGTTTTCCTAACAATACTATGACCCTGTTGGAACATTATTACATAGATACAGGATTACATACAAAAGCTGTGGAAAAAAATCCCAAAACTTCTTTTTGGTATAAGTTGGAGGTAGGTCTTAAATAGTTTCCGACATCTAACAAATGATTAAGCAGTGCTATTGTTAAATGGACAATACACGATAATCTTTCAGTTTTAATATGTAAACTAGACATGGGCATAGATCCAGGTGTCATTTTATTGATAGATCATTTCAAAACATGCTAATTAGTTGTGAACTTGGTCAAGCACTCCAGAAATGACTTAATAAACAAAAATAAAGGGTGAAGGAAAAACTACACTGACTGCTCACAGGCACGTAAAGTACATTACACAACGACGCCCCCTGTCTGTCAATCATTATATGACAATGTTCTTTCTGACCTGTTTAAGGATTATGCAATTTCAATCACATTCCTGTTATGGACTCTCCTCCAAATATTCAGTTGAAAGTAAATCAAGTTTGAAAATTTCAAATTTAATATCTTAATAAAATTAAAACCCAAAAGGGGATTTGGTTTTACTCTCGACCAGTAATCAAACGTGGACCCCCTCACGCAGACCTAACTTCCACTTGCCTCTTGCATCACAGTCCATCTCCCCCCCACCACCACCACATTCTTATAAAAACCTTCAGGTAAGACCCAAGACCCGAGTCTCATTCATTGCTTTCCTTCAACCACCTTCATAAGGCTCATATCCAGCCTCCCCAGTTTCGGACCAGTTAGAACACTTTCAAAACCAAGAGAAAAAAATTCTACAATATGTACCTTTCCTCTAACCTGCACAGTGAAGTTCATGCATTGATGTACATAAAACAGATCAATCCATTACATCAAATTCCCAGCCAAAACAAATGACTGATCACTCAGCCATCAATAAACCAAAGAGCAATGCATTCTCAGCAACGAGGCAACGAGCTTCCAGTACATGAACCTACTCCTTCCACCAGGGGGCATGCATACACCTGAATTACTACTACGATGATACAAATTTATTACAGTGGCCCATGAAGGAAGTGCTGTAACCATTCCCACCCGGAAGGCAAACAATTACATTTGATTGTTAACATTGAAACGTGCACGTTTTATAGAGCCGCGCTCAAGTGTTCTGGGTTAACTGGAAGAGGAACACAGATGGCTGAGGATCCAAACCAAATTTCAATTCTGTGCATTCAGCTGCCGTATTTACCCTAAAAATGTCACCTTTGCGTCACTGATGGGATGAAATGAATGATAATACAACGACATTGTAGTAATGTTACATATTACCCTGTTAGCTATAGATTTCCGCACAGAACAACAGCTTTACTCGAATGCAGCAAAATGAACAAGATGTAAACCAATTTATCATCCTGTTCTATTTACCCAAATCAGATACAGTCCCCATTCTACGTCTGTCGAGTCATGTGTGACCAGAGACAGAGATAAATTTGAGAAAATAGGGAATATTCTGATTGAAGTGTGGAAAAAGGCCTTTTCACCTAATAAAGCAGCAGCTTTTATCTTAAAATGTTTCATATCCGTACAGTTTATATTGATGTTCAAACAAGTTCCAAAACATTTTACCTTGTTACATCTTAATTGTATCCAACTCTAAATCAGGAAACTGACCTACAAATATCAAAAATACAAAAAAAGTAAACATCCTGACTTTTTAGACAAAATATTAATAAAATAATAGAAATGCTGTTGTATTAAAATAGTGCTTGAAAACAATAAAGCTTGCATAGGGGACAAAGAAAACAGAAGAATCGATAGGAGTTCCATGCATACAACAGGCATTGTGGGAACTGAACTGTGTCTGCCACATAGTGCAAAAACACCCAAGAAACGAGGTGGGGGGGGGAATCGGGGAAAGTCTGCCAACCCCACTGCATTACTACCCCAATGACCCCCCCACCACACCATAAAACCAACCCCCCCATCCCCAAGAAGAATGACCAATGACTCGCCCCACTCTCCCCCTCACCCCCCAGCCCCTTGAACTTTGGTCTCTTCCATATTCAGCTCGGTGCCACACTGAAAGATGGCCATGGTGTGAGGGTCACATGACTCGCCCCCATGCCCCTAAGTCCCCCCCCCCCCGCACCCGTGTCCCGTGTTGTTAGCGCATCTTGTGGTCGTCGGCATTCCCCATGTTCGAGCCGGGGCTGGGCTCCTGCTGCCGCCTGGCCTGCGTGAGACGGAAACAGAGTCCGGAAGGTTAGTATCCGAACCTTGGGAGCAGAACGTAAAAAAAATGAAGGACTGGACGCTCTCTCTGTCTCTCTCATGTTTCAGTTTGAGGAGAAGTTGTCACATGACACAAACGCAGAATATACATCACAGTGCTGTGCTACACAAGGGGCAGTGAGTACAGACTCTAGAGGCCAAGGTATGGCCCCCCCGGCCACCTACAGCACCTCGACTGTCCCCCAGGGAAAATCGGAGGGCACTGGCTGCAAGCCTAAAAAGTGATATTCTTTTTTGGGGCAGAGGGGCAGACAGTTATTCAACAGGAGGATGTCTTAAACACTGCCCCTTTAAAAATAAAGGGATGACTGCCTGCCTGTCAGAGATACATGTGTTTATGTCTGCGTCTTAATCACTCCCAACATAGATGTCGGGACAGGGGCATGCAGGCAGAGAGGAGAGAGAGACAGACAGGCCGGCAGACAAGGGCATGAGCTGTATATCTGGCACACTATGGTGTCATCATCCCACTATTACAGCAAACTCCAACCTCGCTGTGGGACCGCTGCCCGAAGCGCCTGCCCTCTCCAGAGTGTAAACGCATTCTGTTATTTGTACCGAATCACATGATTAGATAAATGACGTTACAGCTCTTTAATATGCAAAGCGAGTCCGATACTTTTGAGTCAACATGCCGTTAATGTGAGTTAAGGCTACATGCCATCACTCCAACACTGATTTTAACAATGAACACATTCATAACCACTTGCAAAAACATACACACACATATGCATACAGACAGACACACACAAAGACATGTCACTAAATCCAGCGATCTGAAAACTCAAGTGAGAATTTGAAAACATGTTTGAATGATATTTAAGATCGAGGTGCTAGGTACATTGCCTAAGCTCTGAAATACAGCTATAATCGCTGTTTGTCCTACTGTTTACATTTATGTTTCTAGATGATTAATTTATTGGGGGGGGTGGGGGTTCAAAACTATTTTAGCCAAACAAAATATCTGCCTGCATAATTATTTACACAGTCTGGCCAAGAGAGCAATTTTAGGAAGTAAAAGAGAAAACAGAAAAACGACAGAGGCTGGAATCTGAAAGGCCTACTGAAGCGTTCAGGGCCTGTGTACCTGTATACACAGGCATTTCTGCACTGCATACCTATCACACACACACACGCATCTGCCCGTACACAACACACACAGGTAAGTAAGAATGCATGCAGTCACAAGCACAAACACCGGGAACATCCACACCCGTGCATGCACAGAAAAACCACATGCATGTGAACACGCACAGACTCACGGTCACACCTGGGAGGTCCTCTGACCACGTGCACCCCCCCCCCTTGGAGAAACGGAAGGAGGGGGAAAAATCCTTACTCTGCATGTACGGCCTCACATGCAAAAGGCAGCTTTTGTGAGTACAGCTACCTGCCCCTGCCAAGAAACACCGGTTGTTATTGCACTCTCGGTGAAATGGGGGGGGGGGTGTTAAAATCCCAGGCCACACAAGTAGTGGCTACAGCTCAGGACAGTGCAGGCCTATGGTAGCACACACCGTGGGGGCCTGAATCGGCCAAAGATGTTAAATAAACCACCTGACACAGCATGCGGGGGGCTGATGTATCGATCAGAGGGTCTGGCGGCAGCCCATCCAGCCCCGCTGCAGGTCAATAGCGCCTGGATTGGGCCGGACAGATGCAGGGTGGGGGCTAATCAAGGAGATCAATACTAATGGCATATTAATACATTGGATGGCGCATATTTCACTCAGTAAGTCCACCTGCAGCCCAGGGGCCGCATGATGAATGTGCCCCCCCCCCCCCGTCGGTGTCTATCACGCCGAATTCCATTAGTGGCCCCCACTCCGCTCCAGGTCCCACATGGCCGGAGCTCGCCGGCATCTGCCAAAGGACCCTTTGTCAAGACCTAAGCCGTGTTGCTGTTTTATTTAACAAAGCGCTTGATGGGAAAAATATGCTTTGGGGAGAGGAGGTGTATAATTAATAGGTTTAAAAAAAAAAACAAAAAAAAACCTCGATCTCAAGTGGGACCTCTTCAGCTTTTATATACAGTGGTAAAAGGCTGCTGTGGCATTTATGGATACAAAACAGAGGCAGTAATATTTCCACTAACGGTCATCAGTAGTTCAAAATACACAGTCAGGGTGTTCCTGTGCACGCCTGCGCAGGGTCTCCGCACAGACAGAGCGCAGACGCCCACGGCCCGTATTTCAAACCAGGAACCACAGCCAAGTCTTTCTTTGAGGCCCGTTACAAAAAACAACTGCAGGCTGCTTACGGAACAGATTGAGCTGCGTTAGATTTTTAATTTCTTTTTGTAGGATTTCTCCTGTGAAACCGGAATCATTTTCATTCTGGGGCATTTTTTTTCTCTCTCTTTTGCTACTGGAAACTCCACGGGTCCCAGGAAAACCTAAGGGCACGTTTTCCGACGGGTCTCCGAAAAGTGAGCGCCCGTGAAAAGCATCCAGGGAAGATTCCGGCTCACTCCTTTTGGGGATCACGTGCTGCCAAGCTGTGGAGGACCTCGCCCGCCCGCCCCCGGGCGCGGGGGTGGCAGGAATAAGAGGGACGGGGTGGGCACAGTGAGGCAGGATGCTGGTTGGGAAGGTCTGCTTTCCATTAGGTCTCGGCATGGGGGGGAAGGGGATCTGCCTCCTTGTTAGTGTCCCTACGGCACAGAAATCCGACTCCATGACCACTCAGGAATTTTCGCTTCCTCCCAGCAATGCGCCGCGTTACCGTCACAGAGGATGTCAGCGCACCTCCCAGGGGAGCCTGGAGATCGGACAGAGTTCCTCTCACACAGGAAGCCCCTAAACCCCAGCGATGGACTCCTGCCTGGATAGCAAAGGAAGCTCTTGCAATGGAACCTGACCTTGGCTGACCTTCAGTCTAGTAAAGGAGACCCCTGCCCTTTTAAAACGAGCAATAAGATGTACATATTACCCATAATCCCTGCCTTCAAAGTCAGTCTCTGCTCTCTAGGTGTCACAGAGATCACCTCAAGTACGGTCAGTATGTTAATGATACATTTTTCGTATCCCACAGAAAAATGTATACGTTTGTTTCTCAGAGGCTGCATGCATGGGAGGGAGCGCCCTCAGAAATCCTGCATCTCAAACCGCCACCACAAGCAGTAGCGTGTTTGTATGTATGTATGTATGTATGTATGTATGTATGTATGTGCGTGTACATTTCCCATCTCACATGCACACACAGGCACACGGAGAAGACACGCATTCCCAGGTCGGCACACACAGCCATGCATGTGTGTCTGCTCGATCAGGCCTGGAGTTTGTACATGTGGAGGCACACACACAAACACACACACACATATAAATATACACGTATGCACACACACGCGTGCAGACACACATGTTAAGTGCATGACAGAGTTGAGAGTGAAAAGCAGGAAGGACAGACCCTCGTCCTTGAATCCCATCAGTCCCAGATTTTTGATCCAACAGGGTCCTAAAAAACACAATTTGGTTTTTCAACTTTGGTTGGAATGCAGTTCAGCGCGATGTTATGTCCTGTCAAACGGGGACACGCAGACGGACATGCGTGCATTCTTCACACGTTTGGCAGATCTAAATGCTCCATTTCAAATTTGTAGGTGGCCCAGGGAAAATAGTTATTTAATACAAGTGGATAAAATGCAGATCTTTTGTGTCAACACACACACACACACACACACTTATACATACACACATACAAAAACATATGCATGCATGTCCAGCTGAAGAAACACAATTAGGCCAATACACACACACGTGCACGCACTCACACACACGCACACACATGTAAGTATCACAGCGGTCTGCACATCATAAGCAGAAACCTGAATATGGGCCCGAAACATGCGGATGTAGCCCGACAGATCCGCATCGACCCGAAATTTAGTGTGCTGTCCTCTGGCTGGTGAAGGCCCCGCCCAGCCTGCATGGCCCCGCCCTCTCACCTCCAGGTCTTCACGGTGGGAGCGATCCCTGTCTTCGAATTCTCGGTTCCTCCTGCGCACCTCCTCATAGGCCTGCTGGGCCAGGGCATCCTCATGCTGGCATACACACGCACACAGACGCACGCAGACGCACGCAGACACACACACAGACACGCACATGCAGATACAACAGGGCAGGGAAAGAGAAAAGAACTGTAACCCTCACAGCAGTGTGAAGACATTATTTCAGGCCAAGCCATGGGTCTGTCCGACATCCAGACGAGAGTGTGCAAGTGCAGTGCATGTATGTGAGTGCGTATGCGGTGTACGTGTGCGAGGAGGTGTGCAGTGTACGTGTGTAAATGGGTGTGAGGTGTGGGTGTACGTCTGCGAGTGGGTGCAAGGTGTATGTGTATGAGCGGTGTACGTGTGGGAGTGTGTGTGCGGTGTACGTGTGGGAGTGTGTGAGCGGTGTACGTGTGGGAGTGTGTG